ATTTCAAAACTCCTTTTATTCCTTTTGTTTTATTGAATTCATGTGAAAATAATACAGCGTTAAATGTTATTCTCTAAACATATTACAATGATATCTTTAATATGGGTCCTTCAGCAATTTATACGAAAAGTACAGATTTCATAAAGTCTTGGGAGAGAACACTTATATTTTTCTCCTCAGTGTAGTGACCATGCTTACTTAAAATGGAATTTCTAGGCGAGAAAAATAGACAAAACCATGCTGTTTTCTGTGATTAGGGGATCTTTGATAAAAATTTTCAAAGATGAAAGAATAACGTAAATAAAATTAAATTAATTACGATATACAGTATATTGCAACACTTATTGAACGATCCTTGTAGGTCCCTTTGAGAATTGGTTATTTATGTCTTCGTGATCAAACGTAAAGGATTTAAAATCCTACCCCTTATTTTGATGACTGCTATTCCCTATACAAAAGTCACAATATATACATCACACATAACAATATATGAAACATATGGAAATAATGAACAGAATTCAAGATCAAAGGTCCATAAAACAATACAAAACAGGAGCAGAGCAAACACGGACCTCCAAAACATCAGAGGTAGGATCAGGTGCCATGGAGGAGTGAGCATCCCCTGCCTACTGGTTACACCCGCCGTGTGCTCCTTGTCATAATTAGGAAATAACGGAAAAATCCCTCGTCAATTCAGTGTATAAATAATGGACTAATAATAAGTATGAAAAACGCCAGTCAGCATTTGACTCAATGATACGTTGTACATGTATTTTCTGACAAGGTCATTGTATCGACCATAGAATTACAAAATGATGACTTTAAACGAGACAGCTGAAATTCTTGTTTCATCAACTTGTTTGTCAATAATTTACCTTGTTTTAGAAATTGTTCATACGTAGGGCATGCTCTTTCGTATCGAATCAACTGAGATATATACACTCTGTATGCAGGTGATGAAGGTATATTGCTGCATAAGTAAGGGAAGTTAACTAAAGAAAAGTCATCACGTTTATCATAGAGCTTGGTTGTCAGATTACCATTAACGTCTTTTCAAGTAAAATATCCAAAAATGAAACAGATGTGTCAGACTCCGTGGTATCTTTTATCTCAAGCTTTCTAAGATATATCGTATCGACACAACAAGAGGCCCACGGGCCTTATAGGTCACCTGAGTATCATGTAACAACTTTCCAACAATTGAATTTGGATCGAATTTTAAAATAGAGGCCATGAAATTCCCAATTTTGAAAGAGGTACCATTCCTTATCATAATTATAAACTTAGCATGCTTACTCTATTTACTTAATACTCAGAGGTAGATCAGATTGACAATTAAAAAGAAAATGCACTTCCACTTTATAACCAGTTGTGCACCCCACCCCAAAGGAAGCACTGACCCCGGAGCCACATATTTCAAAATTTTGGAAATTTTATCATAGTTTTTAAAAAAATTTTGGAAATTTTATCACAGATTTTATTTCATCATATATGGCTGATTAATATCAAAGAGCAGATTTCAAAGCATTAATTCATTTTCGGACGATGTAACCCCCCCCCCCCCCTTCCGGTAGCCCTGACACTGGGGGCATGAAATTAACCATTTTGCTAGATGCACCTTTCTTCCTCAGAAATATAAGTACTTGGATCATTAGCATAATACCCAGGAGCATAGGAAAAGATTTTCAATGAATTAATGTATTTTCACTACATAATCAAAGGAGCCCTCCCCCCCCATCTACACCGAATGGCAAAAACCCTGACACTGGGGCCATGAAATTCACAAATTTGGTTGAGGCATTATAACTTCACACTAAATAAGTTTATTTAATACCCACGAGCAGAGAAGAAGATTTTAAAAGACTTAATGCATTTTCACAATATCTTCAATAGAGCCCCACCCTAACACTAGAACTCTTGACCCTGGGACCATTAAATTCATAATTTTGAAAGAGGCACTCTTACTCATCATAACTATACACTTAATTAGTTTATTTAATACCAAGGAGCAGAGGAGAAGATTTTGAAAGAATTAATGCATTTTCATTATATAATCAATAAAGCCCCGCCCTAACACCAGAACCCTTAATCCTGGGGCCATAAAATTCACAATTTTGGTAGAGGCACTCTTACTCATCATAACTATGTACTTAGTTAGTTTATTTAATAGCCATTCTCTGTAACCACTTAAACTTCGCTGCCACGCATGGTCACCGATTTTGATGAAACTTCACCCATGCTTAGTACTTGACACCAGAAACAAATATCAAACAAAATTTCGTTGCTATGTGTCTCGGTTGCTATGGCAACAGCCGGAAAAGTTTGAAAAATCGAGATTTTTTAGCCACTTTAAATCTTGACTGTGGCTTAATAAAAACTAGAAAAAGCAAACAAACCATTCTCACAAAAAACATGACACCTTGATGTCACTTATACTGTAAAGAAACTGTTTAGAATATATCTCTAAGTAAATGGTAACCAAGGGTACATTTGGAATACATTTAAAATGCTGAAATATGCTGAAAAACACTCAGTATTCACTAATGGTAGGTGTTACATGCTCAAACTCAATCAACGACTTAAGAAAAACAATGAAAATGTTTGACCTTCAGTATATAAGTATAAACAATATTATTCTATAAATAACTTTTATGGTTGCTATGGTAACACAGTATAACCATGCAAAATCAGTAACTAAGATTGGGTTAATGCTACTGTCTTGAGGAAAAACATGAAAATTCAAGACTGGCAAATATGCATCCTTAGTACCTTGCAACACCAAAACCATAAGAAAAATTGGGTATAATTGCTACTTTGCAGTGTTACCATGGAAACAAAGTACCAGTGCTTAAAAGTGAATTATTTTTCGCTGCATTAAGAATTAAATTGCTATTTAATCAAGAAAGAAATTAAAGGACTAAGCTTGAATAGTACTTATCTGTTACAACTGAAGTTGAATATCATATATTGATAAAATTTGATGAAGAAAACAACACTGTTGCTATGGTTACCAAGAAGGGAAAATGTTCGATTTTGTGAACTTTATATCAATATTAAACCCTGTGTGCCAACTTCTTGCATCCACTTAGAGATTGGATGATAGTCAAAATTAAAAGTCAGGTTAGCTGTTGATAAATATCAATCAGAAAAGTTTTGGGAATCTACATTTAAGGGTACGTATCCAAGGAAAGAAAATATTTTTCAGGTTTTTAAGCATATATTTTCTGCTTATTTCCATAGCAACGCTCTATTTAAAGAATTTAATCTGAATTTTTTCAAATGGGAAAACTAGGAGCAAACCAACATCTTTAAAAATTGATCATTAGTTATGAGGAAATGTGCTTTTTTTTAAAAGATAGGATCAGATTTAAACATACAGAGTGTTACTTTGAAGGCTCTCTGTGGTATAAAAACCTTGGCAACCATTGTCAACCAAAATGAAATATCATATTTTGTTCTTGGTATATGTTTCAAGGCTCTTTTTTCTATTATTTGGTCACATTTCATCCTATAATTGCTTTTTATTTTCACGTGTATGACTTTATAAAATTCAATGAATATTTTTTTTTACTTTTGAATACTTTGTTACCATAGTAACGTATGTAATAGTTGATTTACCAAACATGTTTATCATGCATTTGAGACATCTGACCTTCAACTTTTGGAAACAGTCATTGCCAATTGTTTGCTTTGCCGCAAATGTTAACTATGGGGCTCTAAACATGTTAAAAAATGCCATTTTTCGTACTTTAAGACATGTTGCCATGGTAACTATAAAACGTAGCAACCAATTTTTGCCTGATTTCAGTTTAGGGTATCAATGACTTTTATCATAGAGAGTTTGGAGAAATTCTGAGACTATGCGTGCCACAGCTCCTATATAAAATTTCAAATCATTACAGAGAATGGCTCTTAATATCCGGGAGCAGAGAAGAAGATTTTAAAAGAATTAATGCTTTTTCACAATATATTCAATAGAGCCCCGCCCTAACACCAGAACCCCTGACCCTGGGGCCATAAAATTCACAATTTTGAGAGAGGCACTCTTACTCATCATAACTATGTTCTTAGTTAGTTTATTTAAATCCCAGGAGCAGAGAAGAAGATTTTGAAAGAATTAATGCATTTTCATTTTATAATCAATAGAGCCCCGCCCTAACACCAGAACCCCTGACCCTGGGGCCATAAAATTCACAATTTTGGTAGAGGCACTCTTACTCATCATAACTATGTACTTAGTAAGTTTATTTAATACCCAGGAGCAAAGAAGATGATTTTTAAAGAAATAATGCATTTTCACTATATAATCAATAGAATCCCGCCCTAACACTAGAACCCCTGACCCTGGGGACATGAATTTCACAATTTTGGTAGAGGACTCAATGGTTATTACATTCATGCTAACAGTTTGACTGCTTGATGTCCAGGAGTAAAGAAGAAGATTTTTAAAGATTGCATTAATTTTAGAGGTTTTGGCCCCACCCCTCAGGCCCCAGGGGGACAGGGACCATGAAATTTAAAATTGCTGTTTCCCTTAACCCATAGATGCTCTATGCCAAATTTGGTGAAAATTGGTTGAGTGGTTCCAGAGAAGAAGCTGAAAATGTTCAAATGTTAACACACGACGAACGACGCACGACGCACGGCGACGGACGAAAACGGATAGCAATAGAAATAAAAATTCTTAATTACCATTCTTAATTGACAGTACGTCGTCTAAATATCTAAATGTCGAGTTGAAGACCTCATCTAGTGCTTTCTTCTTTTCACGCATAAGATTTTGCACAAATTCTGCATCATACATCATTATACATCACGAAGAAAAAAGGCACTGTTTTTCGCACCAATGACCCTTCAGTTCTTTTCTAACTGGTCGTTCTAATGCTGTTTCATTATCGTGATTAAAAAGATTTTTTTAGATATCTTTCTTAATTACTAAGCCCCTAAATATGTCTTCCGGGTCTATATCATTCATTTAAGTCAGGTTATTAATTAACAAATGATGCTTTAATAGTTTAATAGAAATTCATTTGGCATATGTTATGTTGTCTGGTTTATTTTCTTCCTGAAATAGAAGTAAGCTTGCATTGCAAATATATATTTCGAAATCTTTTCTCAGAAGCGAGGATATCATATAGAAGCATTTTAAGCTTTTTTTCAATTTAATTTTTAATTACATGATAAGGTATCATAAAGGAAGACAAAATCAGTTTATTTTATCAATAGTGTTTTACCTGTCCAGTTACTTTTAACAACCAACACACTTGCAGACACACCAGGCCGACCCACAATACCCCCCTCTACAGCTGAGTTCGCCCTGGCAGTAATCACTGCATGTTTTGTCGTTATGATACACACAATAACATCCATGTCCCGCCATGGCAACTTGGGTCGAGGCTAGAAAATCGTATATTATACAGTTATTGACTGGGTATGAGGACAATATATGATTTGTTGGATCTGGTTGTGAAAATGTTGTTCGAAACCACAATGAACAAATAATGTGTTGCCCAAATTCCAGTCTATAACTGTTTCGTTAGATCTTTTTTTCTGATAAAACATTGAATAATGACAATTATATAGATTTATCAATATATAAACAATGACTTTATGAATATGAAAATGTTTGTCTTTATAACAAAATGAGACTATGGTAGCATATTTCTGCCCCATAAACGCAAGATGAATTATGTAAACATACAACGTGATAATGTAGACATGCGATATATTTATATCAATATTCACAATAATTATGTTGACGTGCAACTTTCCAAACTTATAAGAAAATATTATTTAAATACGGATACTTTTCTAAATTACGACAGTATTCATGCGACCTATCAATGTTAACATGCAAGATAACATTCTGTAGACATGAGACTTACAACTTGTTAACTTGAAAGATACTTATCTTCACATACAAGATACTTATGTCAACATGCGACTTATTTATGTTAACGTGCGAGTTTATAATATCAAGAGCTTTTTTTTCTTGCATGTTGACTTACTTTATCATGCATGAAGGGAGCAGAAATATGCCACCATATGATAAACTAGCAGATAATAAAAAGAATCTTAAAGTTATGACATCACGGAATATATCTGTCACAACGGATAATTTTCTTTAGTTCTGAACTTTGGTTTCGTGACATATTTCTGCAAGCATATTTTTAGTGAAATAATAATTTTATGATAATTGCTTTTCATTATCTGCTGTTGGACGGTGACATATGGTGGCGTCTCTTTCTGAATGAAAAATTCTCAAGAAAGTTGTTCAACAACAAACAAACGTATGAACTATGAATTTCAATTTCTTATACTTTGTTTTCTGTTATTCTTGAGTGTTAAAGGCGAAAATGACGAACAGCGACAAATTTCACAAATCCAGCAAATAAAACAAAATTACAAAAGGCCACAAACTGAGAATGTGAATGATAAACAGTCCTGTTTTCCGATTCAACGGTTAAAAAACATTCCCTTCAAGATATTCAGCTTTGCTTTTTGAGATACAATACATACCTATCAAGACCACACACAGCACGATTAAAAGGAAGGATTTCATCTTGAAGGTTTGGATCTCTGTGGCAAATACTGATCTGAGATGATTAAGATATAGAAAATGACGAATAAGGAGAACAAAATGCATATATTGAAACAATTAAAAACAAAAATGGACTTAGATATCAAAATTTTTCTTATTATGCTCACTCCTCCATGGCACCTCATATTGTTTGGAGATCCATGCCTGATCCGCTTCTATTTTGTAATGTTTAATTGACTTTTGAGCTCGAATACTGTTTGTTAACATCTCAAATTTCATGATATAAATTGAGTTACCGAACAGTATTCAAACTCTAACGTCCATATAACAATACTAAAGCAGACCAAACACGGACCTCCAAGGACTTTCACGTGTCAAATTAAAATATTTAGCCATGGGTTTAAGGTATTTTAGAGATTTCAAAAAATCAGAGTTAGGGAAAGTGTCAAATAAAGCCAGAAGATGCCTCATCATATTTCATTTTTGTCCTCTTAATATGCCCGGGAACTAAACTGTTGATATAACAGGGAAAAGCTTTCAATATACTTCCATTTCAGGTTTTTTACCTATAACAAAGGAATGAAAAGTTACACTATAAATTCAAAACAGATGGTTAAATTGAATGTAAAATATATAAATACAGTCTAAATGTAGATTCGAGAATGTCCTATAAAAAGCCTCGACTTTTTTTTTTTTTTACAGTATATGATAAGCACATGTGCGACTTTTTCTTGTAATGACTTTTCAATCGTCAACTTTCCTAACTTATGCAGCAATATTCCTTTATCACCTGTTAACAGGCTTCATGTCTCTTGGTTGGTTCGATATGCAACTTTATACTCTACGTAGGATCAATTTCTGAGACGAAGAAAGTTATTGACAAATAAGTTGATGAAACAAGAATATAAGCATTCGCATTTAAAGTCATAGTTTTGTAAGTTTCATGGTCGATATAATGATCTTGTCAGAAAATACAGTCTATCATTAAGTTAAATGCTGATTGACATTTTTAATACATTTGTTTGGTCATTACTTTTACATCGAATTGTCGAAACTTTTCTCTCGTTATTTTCCCGATCATGACAAGGAACATACGGCTGGTTAGATCAGTCAGCAGAATGATCAATCATCTATGTATAGCTGACACTTTCCACCTCTGATGTTTTAAAGGTACGTGTTTGTTCTGCTCCGAAATTTGTATTGTTTATTGGACTTTTGAGCTTGAATACTATTCATTATCTCATATTTCACCTAGAAACATAGTTAAATTGATTACCCAGGTGTTTTACTACCTTAATGAGTAAAAATACAGTGAAATAATGTTCATACGAGGGTTGATCCAAAAGTAATGTCACAACTTCGATAAAATTGCTACTAGTTGACGTAAATTAACAAAATGTATAGAAGTTAATATATATATTTCAAATCAGTCCTTAAAAATTGAATTTAAAATTAATTTTACTTTTCAAAATATCGAATTTTATACAAAGGTGCGATTATGGTAGTCGCCGCACCTAAATAACGTCATATGACAGATATACGTATGCACCGTCATACACTTACACATTTTTTTTTTCGTTTCATTAAAAATGTTTGAGATTCACAAATACAATCACATATTTCACTTTCTTTAAGAATAATTGGCAGTAATTGTACATTCACTTTATCTATATATAATTTAGTACTCTATCGAAATTCCTTGAACAGTACCATAAGACAAACTTAATTTTTTTTCATATCGCTCAAACCGTGACGCATCTTTATTGACAACGTCAAACACCATTAAAACGTTTCCGTCCGACCACCCATCTTCCGGTCTTTCTGTCCTCAGCTGATCATTCAATGACCCATGACCCACCAAAAATCGCTGAAACCATCTAAAAAAAGTCTTTCATGTACATTATTTCCCTTGTGAGTCTGATTAATCATCGTAACTGTCTTTACTGGCGATTTCCGGATTTGAAGGGAAAATGCATTGCAGATCGTTTCGGCGTTTTATGTCTTTTTGACATTTCATTTGTTCAATACCACAGATATATACAACGATGTTTATGATCAAAAATGCAATGACGTAATTTAAGTTTTAAATAAATATTAGAAAATGTCGTAAATTTTGTCTTTTAAAATATTGTGCGATTAGACACTTTTAAGATAAGTTTAAATGTGTCTGTTCTTTTTCATTCTAACAATATATACTTTTTAAAAACGTGACGTTTAGTTGTGACGTAGCGACAACCCTTATGTTTAATGTTTTAAACGTCTATAAAATGAATTCAACTAAACATTATTAAATGAAAATTTCAATCTTAATTAAATTTATATTTATGCATCTTTTGGTACATTATATTTGATAATACGACGCCGAATATTAAACATTGACATTACTTTTGGATCAACCCTCCTATCAAAAGAAATACTAGATTTGTTTACTGTAAAGTTTGAGGAACTCGTTAATGTAAAATATACATACCAGCAATTATTTGAGCAGTTGCAGAGGTGTTGCTTCTGACGATTCTCAAATGAGACAAATTTGAATGTACAGGGCTGTTTAGTTTATAGTTTTCTACTGTAACAGATGTAAGCTGTTTTGAAAATTGAATTGTCGCCGCTGGTGTAATGACTTTCAAATTACATAACTTTAAAAATGTAATTAATTTTCTGACAGAAAGAGAATAGCTGACATGGGGATTTTTAAAAAAACGATTGCTGTTTAAAACGATGAGTAACATTAATAATTTACATGTACATACCTTGGCTTTTTTCCCTTTGTAAACTGATTCACAGAGTTACCAATATAATTATGCGTTTATTAATGCATGCAATTTAATTATTTTTGTAAGTTTTCTTTAATATTATTTTATGCATAC